CAACTCTAATCAATTGTATTGCTACGTTTAATAACTGATTGGACTCTTTGTTTTTTCTTTATTTGGTTAACACTCTTTGTTTCCTTATCTACTAGCCAATTCTACTCTGAAACGTGAATTCCCACAAATAATATATTTTGAGCAATCAAGAGTGAAAACTGAAGGCCTAAACTGCCTTGCAGTTGAAGCAATTCTGTACCCAATACAATTTAGTTGCAGACACTAAAAACTTATCTAAAATATAACTATTAAGAGTGAAACAATACCGAGTCAGATACATACACGAAAGCAAGAAAAAGGTCAACAAAACCAACTTTAGGTTCCAAAATCAAAATCCTCAAACCCTATAAAAAAACAGAAATGCAGAATCTTAAGAACCTGAAGAAGGACAGATTATATTCCAAAGTGAAACTTTCCTGAAGGTGAAGTTGAAGCAAAATCCCAGTTTGGTCTGAAACTTCCTAAAAGTCTCTAAATTGAAAATCCAAAGAACTTACTTCCGGGTTCTTTTGTTCTCTCATTTGGATCTACATTTTGTAGGGGTGATCAAACCCGTTGGCCACTAAAAAGAACGAACATTCTATGATTGAACTAAAATGAAACCAGGTCAACTGAAAAGCAAAATTCGTGAAGATCCAACTTTTTTCAAGCATTTCACAGGACCCCAACCCAGATGTACAAACTCTCCTATGTATTTCTAAATCTTCAACTACATTATCAAGTACAACAACACAATGTACATTCAAAACAAAAATCATACAAAGATCAATTGAAAACAAAAGGTCCCCAATTGATAATTCACAAATAAGACAATAATTGAATCCGTTAATCAGAACAATTTAGCAGATTAAAATCCCTAATTCCGAAATCCCCAAATCCAAATTCAGACGATAAAACTGAAGGCAAGAAGAAGAGAAGTAGGGTCCTAGGAGGCTGAGAGATCGGAGGTACGGTGGCGTATTTAAATTTGAACAACCAAAAGAAGAAGAGGAGGAGGCGGAGAAGGAGCTACCAGTTAGAGAGCATAGCAGAGGAGAGGAGGATGGAAACGCGGCGCCTGGATCCGTGGAGGGGCTGAAGCACTGCTGATACTGCTGATGCGATAAATTAGAAATTTGGACTCTTATGAGTCTTTGTTCTTTTTGGGTTTGAAAACTACCGGCTGCGGCACTTTTTTACGGGAACTCGGGATATTTCACTGTTTTAACCGTGATTAAGATTTTAACGATTAATTTTCTTTCTCAAAATGAGAATCTTAGGCGAGCATGATCGATAAATTGAATTAAATAGTATTTAGAATAAGGATGAAAGAAGGGTGTTTAAGACTGTCATGTCCTGATTACGAAGCATATATGAAATCGGGCGTATTAAAAGTGTCACATTAGTACATATCGAACAACTTATACAAATAAACATATTGATGAGGTCTCTTCCACTTACATACAATGCAAAAGAGTTTGCAAACTATGTACAAAACCTCATCTAGAGGCACAACGCCTGTAGGCTCCCAAAATGGAACTATTCACAAAATAAAACAATAAGATACATGGTTAATCCAATCACTAAGCGCTTAATTCCCCAACACTGTTACTCAAGACGCCTCGTACCTATCAACACCTGTCAAACTGCAAAATCGCCATCTACACCGTGAAAATGGTTTACCAGGCAAAGCAAAAACCGGATAATCTATGAAGCTCGTATGAGTAACAGTAATATGACAATCAATCTCAGTTATAAAATATTTTATACATCTTTTGCTCATATAAAATAAATTCACTCACAAAACTTGATCGAATCTACATAGTCATTCAATCATCTCATTTATATATATGAATAAAATATTAGAACTAGCACAAATCACAACGTTATGTATTCCAGACACACTCATGGATGTTGAGCCAATTCGGCTGTTGGTAGGAACATTTACTGAAAAATAAAGATAAATTAAGCCTTTGTTCTACCAAGGCAAAGACTTGGGTTTACAAATTAATGGAAAGTTTCCTTATATCAAACTAAGCTGCAAACAGGGAAATTATTCGCGGAAGTTCTCGGGTGTTACAATATAAACAATCTCCATGCTAAGCCTCTGTCACTAATGACTACAAATAATCATACATCAAATTAAACGACGTTCCGCACAAAACAAACTACTTCCTTCCCCAACTCAACCTTTGCAAGTGGTAATTGATGCTTCCCATTGACTTTCTGTTTTTGTTGCTCTGTAGCGAAAGAGTAGGGCGGGTTAGGATCGACTTCAAGTAATGAAAAAAAAAAAAACAGATGCGAAATCCGAAAACAAAATTAAGATGCATAATCCAAAGGAGAACGGAAAATCCACCTGATCCATACAAGTACCCAAAAGTTCCTTCTGCTTGACACACTTTGTAAAGTTCAGTGAATGGCAATGTGTGACAATTGGTTTACTTGAGGAACAAATCACTTGATTATTCAGTGATGTGCAATTCGAGTAAATTAAGAGTCCTAGTTCAGTAACAATTGTGGAGTCTTAAATTATTGCAGCTAATCTAGGAGAATTATCTAGAGGTTCAAATACAAAGATATTGCATCATGATAAGACTCGATCAAGGTAATAGGGTTGACCTTGTTAGCTGTTAATAGGCCGGCTAATAAGGAAACCTAATGATAAATAAATACTAGGTTAAGTCCCTGCTTCCATACGTTGAAATCCTCATAATACTAAAACCTATTCATATAGTAGAGGGATATTTTGGAGTATTGGAAGGAGAAGACAACCAGAGTTCATCAATGGCTTCATCTTCATAATCATGTCTTCCGAATTCTACAGATAAGTTCAATATAATTAGTCTATCTCTATTTCATATTGATTTGATTTATTCGTGATCCTAATATCTTGTTGTTGTGATTTAAGAATATGTCTTGCACACTTATCATCACAGAGCTGGATAGCAGCCAGGCAGTTGAGAAATGCTATCATTTCCTTCATGCATGGTTTGTGAAAAGTTCCAAGTTTCTTTGGATTTATATAAACAGTACCAACTTTCCGATCCATTCTATGATTGAAACAACACCTGTCCAAGCAAAGTGCAAACAAAAAACAAGTCCAAGATGAACTAAGAATTTTTATTTTTTTTAACTGAGAACAAATCTAATCAATACTCTTTAATTTGATTGTACTCTTTAAAAAAAATAGGGATAATTTGAAATACGTCCAATTTTATAACCTACTTTTGAAACAGATCTAATTTTTGTGTAATGTTAACTTTTGAAATAGATCAAATTTTTAGTCCAATTGGACCTATTTCAAAGGACTCATAAAAAGTAAACGGGCATTTTTTTTTTATATATAAAAATAGGTATTTCATCCGATGTTATTTTTTATATATATATAAAAATCGGTATTTAATTTGATTATGCATCAAACGTTCGACTAAATAGTCAGTCCGACGACAAATTATCATATTCAACTGAAATAATCAATCCAGTTTGAGCTGCTAAACGGGATTAAGAGTCCAAATTTCTAATTTCTGGCATCAACGGTATCTCCACAGTGCAGTGCTCAGCCGCTGCACGAATCCAGGCGCTGCGTTTCCAGCTCCTGTCCTCTGTTCTGCTTTCTAACTGGTAAGTCCTCCTCCTCCTCCTCTTTCTTCTTATTGTTGTTCAAATTTCAATACTCCACCGTACCTCCGATCTCTCAACCTCCTAGGCCCTTCTGAATTGGGATTTGGGATTTTAATTTGCTAATTATTCTAATCAACGGATCCAATTATTGTCTTATTTGTGAATTATCAAGTGGGGACTTTTTGTTTTCAATTGATCTTTGTATGATTTTTGTTTTGAATGTACATTTTGTTGTTGTACTTGACAATGTAGTTGAAGATTTAGAAATAGGTAGGAGAGTTTGTACATCTGGGTTGGGGGGCCTGTGAAATGCTTGAAAAATGTTGGATCTTCTTGATTTATGCGTTTCAGTTGACCTGGTTTCATTTTAACATGCACAGTTGAGTTCAATCGTAGAATGTTAGTTCTTTTTAGTGGTCAACGGGTTTGATCACCCCTACAAAATGTAGACCCAAATGAGAGAACAAAAGAACCCGGAAGAAAGTTATTCGGGATTTTCAATTTAGAGACTTTTAGGAGGTTTCAGACCAAACTGGGATTTTGCTTCAGCTTCAGGAAAGTTACACTTTGGAATATAATCTGTCTTTCTTCAGGTTCTTAAGATTCTGCTTTCTGTTTTTTTTTTATAGGGTTTGAGGATTTTGTACAATGGTTTTGGTTTTTTTTTTGGCATGCTATGTTGTTTTGGTGCTGTTCAAACAAGTTGTGAAGCTGCTGCTTTCCTCTTCTAAACCACTTTTTCCTCCTGCAGATTATTCAACATATCTAAGCATTGATTTGTGATGCTCATGAAGTTGCCACTTTCCTCTTCTGAACCACTTTTGTAAGAAACGTGAGCTGTTAAAAGTCAGCTCACCCAAAGATAGCAGACATTGACAAAGTTGATTTTTCTAAAGAAAATACAAAAAAGGTTTGGAAGGCAATATTGGCAATGCAAAGTACTTATAAAGGTCACAAAAGGTGAGGTATGAGGACGATGAAATTTCCAAAGCGTTATTTAGTCGTCATATTGACCTTCATCTGCACATCTGTTTGCTTTATAGAACGTGTCGGGTTTTCAATTGCATACACTTTTGCTGCTTATGCTCACAAATGCCTCATATATAGGATCTCTTCGAATGATAATGGATGTGATTATTTTTCTCGGGTGCAATTTTTGCTCACCACCATACTTATTATTATTGGATGAGTTTAACTTTTGAAATTTGTGTCTATCCACTACACGATCGCGAAATTTAAATTCATGCAACGGTGATCAATAGAGTGGTGAGTATCATCATCACTTAAAAGTTAGGATGAAAATTAATTTTTTTTTTTTTTGGAGACGATGAAATATGAAGAATGGGAGACTACATAAAACTCGGGGTCCGAATGGGAATATTATACGACATATGTAATGGGCTTAAAACTCTCCATATAATGGGAATATTATACGAGCTCCTTTATTTTTGGCAAACGTTAATTTGTGGATTTGATCTCTTCAGCTGGGCAAACAGAGAGAGATCAAAACCCTTTTCCACGTCCCTAATCAAGACAACGATAATAAATACATAAATGAGCAAAAAAAAAAAAAAAACGCAGTAATATTCGTGGTTTGGAAGATATCCGTTGCCAACTTTTGTCTTAATTGTTTCTCTCAATGATTTGTTTGTGTAAAGCTTTCCTTTTCTTTTGAGTTTCAGTTGGGGTTTTCACGTCGGTGGCCAAACCAGCAACTTGAAGAATTGTTATTACATACCATGTAATATCAACCTGCCACCATTCCAGGCCTTGCCGAGCTGAGTAGTCAAAAGCATGGTGGTTATTGTGCCAGCCTTCTCCAAGGGTCGGCAATGCCACCAACCTAAAACAATTCAAATTCACAATTACTTTTACTATTTATCCATGCAAAGAACGTACATAATATATGGAGATTCCGTTATAGCTACATTACAGACACACACACATACAAGTTGTTTCTAGACAAATCACCGGTATCCCATACTTGGCTTCCCCATGTGTGGCAAATAGAATTTACTGAGAAAGTAACGTGGTAAAGTACTACCGTCCTCACACCCTGCAGTGAGTAAAAATCCAGCTGATTACATTAAAAAACGATAAGACGATGGACTAGTAATATTTATGGGTCATGAATTATAAAAAATGTAATGGCAAAGATACTATGATATATTTATGGACCATGTATTGCGTCTAATTATTGAGCACGATTTCCATATATAGCATGGGTACATAGTTATTGTGGCGTTCCGTGTCAATAATACAAAGACATGCATAAGTATTTGTACACATTAGTTTACTTTGTATCATTCGTACGAGACGTTGTGTAATTATATATAAGTTTCTTTTTGACGAGCTACCGCTTCACTTAATCACTTGACGAGCTTGTCATGTTTTCAATGTAAGAAAAAAGGGTATATATATTAGGTTACAGTTTGAATCTTTTTCCTAGTGATATACGTGAAAGTAAATTTGGCGGGGCCAGCTTCCTTTGACGAGAAAGAAAATAGTACAAGTAATTTACCATTCCCCAAACCAGAAAGGGTAGTCCTCCCGTGACATACAGTAGAACTCCAAGAACAACCGAGTGAAGAAGATACGTACGATGAAGAAACCTATAGTACGGCTGCCTTTTTAAATCTTCAACATTCTTTAGTCGTCTTTCATACTGCAAAATTGGTATCCATCTCACTTTGTCAGAGAGAGAGAGAGAGAAAGAGAGAGAGAGAGAGAGAGAGAGGGAGAGAGAGAGGGAGAGAGAGAGGGAGAGAGAGAGGGAGTTTTATACTGAAGGGGAGAGAGAGAATTTTGTACACTTTCAAACCGAAAGCTGTTATTGACGACCCAACCAATGTGACTAAACCAGAACCCCATAAGTGGGCTATGCGGGTCTTTCTTTGTGTCTGTAAACTGGTGGTGGTATCTATGTGTGCTCACCCATTCAATTGGATTTCCCTGCAAACCAAACACAAGATCAGTTCACAAAAAAATTCTAAACTTAATGAAAAAAAAGTACAATTACATAAATTACACATCAATTTAATGATTCTGGTGAGAATCAGATCTCAAACACCAGCAAAGTTAAGGGTACTAAATATTTTATCTAATTATCAACTGCGGTTTTGCGATATATATCACATGGTTTCTAAATTCGTATATATTCCTCTATCAGCATTTCTCTTAAGCAGACCTGAAGTGCCAAAACACCACAATAGGCAAAAAAGTATTCGAGCCATCTGGGAAGCTTAAAACTCCGGTGCGCAAGGCTCCTATGGTACCCTAGGGTTACTCCTAGACCTGTCAAAAAATATAGTGCCACGAACAACCAAAATGCACCCCAGTTGAAATAAAATGGCGCTAGAAGAGAAAGGATATGGAAAAGCAGAACGACAATCAAAGTGGTTATGTCGAACAAGTTCCACTGCCTCCCAATAAATTCTACCCGCCGCATCATAAAATGGGAAGGCGCCATTAGTTAAAACAGTGTGTGTGGGTTTTTCTTGAAAGAACTAAACAGAAGCGCGAAGGGACAAAGAGTGAAATGAAGGAATTTTTGTTTTGTAACCAGCGTATTAAATAATGGTGTTAAGCATGATTATATAAGTCCTGGCTGAACTCTGCTTGAGTTAATAGCTTTGTTTGGAAATTATGTTTAAACCCTGGACGAGTATGTTTGAGTTAACAGTTATAACGGCCTTAACATGAATTCTTAACTTCATAACAGATTCTTATATAGCGTGCATGCATAGTCCTAGACGTGTAAGATACGGTAGGCACAATGAGAAGTTTAGGGTTTAGGCCTTGCTTGCAATTAGCGATGATTTTCTCTTTTCTAAGTTATTCCACAATAGTTTAAGTGAGTGTTATTATAGGAGTCACGCAGTCTAGGTTTGATATCTATGACCCTAGTGCTACACTACAGTGAATTATATAACTGTGAGAATCATACTTAGAACGTACTAATTTATAAGTATCACACTCATGAGTTTTAATTATTGAACTCATGAGTTCAATATATTATTAATCTCATGAGTTCAATATATTATTAATCTCATGAGTTCAATATATTGTTAATCTCATGAGTTCAATACATTGGTAGGAGTGTGATTCCTATATTACCTCAATATATTGGTACAACCCTCATTTTTTTCATCCTACTGTGGAAGGTCGTAGTTTGAGTGAGTGTGATATCTATATATAAGAATCAGACAACCTGAGTTTGATATCTATAAACACTACTTCTACACTAGTGTGAGTTCAATATATTGAGTTCAGTATGTTTGATATGATCTTCTTGAGTTAATATATCACACTCATAAGTTCAATACATTGGTATCACACTCAATTACGCTCAAGAACTCTCTTGTCTAACAACTAAACAAAAGATAAAATATGCAATCTACCCTCTTTAAACTAATTATATAAATAAATAAAAAGTTGTTATAGATATTATATTTAAGTGTGATTGTGTAAATCCTAAATAGGTTTGATTACTAGTTATTCTTTCCTTATAGGATTTTATTTACTTGGAGGACAAGTAATTCCTTTCCTCTTTACTGCTATAAATAAAGGTATTGTGTAAGGGGAATAACACACACAGAGTAATCCCTACACTTTCTCCACTCTCTCTCTTTGCCACACCCCTTTATTCATTGTCAATAAAATAGGCCACAACACGTGATCAGGACGCTCCTCCTCTGCGTTAAGGAATCTGACTTGGAATTTTTTGCTCCAAACCAATTCATCAATATCATCACGCAATCAGGTTATTCCAAAACAATAGTTTTTATCTAGATTTCTTTTCAGCCTTGATTGCATGAACCTTCACCGTAATAGCTCACTGATCAAGCGTTCTTGAGCCAAAGATGAATAGGGCTAAGTGATCTGCCAAAGTTGTGAGATGTTACTTCCCAATCAAATTTGTCATAACATTCATAATAATCAACTTTACGAGGATCCCATTGTATTCTAGAAGCTTGCAGTTGGTCCCAATAAACCCAATTTAATACTTCCTTACTGGTAATTATGCCTACACCCTCAACTCGTCCTTAAAAAATAGGATTTTGATAAGTTTTTTATATTCCACAAGATCACTAGAGCCATTTTCTTTGCCCACAAATTGCTAATTCATTCCATTTATCTCCTTTTTTATTCCACGTCATAGAACACATACATATGAGTTGAAACCATTACTATCTATAGAAAGATATTGGGTTTAAATCTATAGGTTTATCTATTATGGATATATATAATATAGGCATGCCCCTTTGTAAAATTTGAAAAGTAAAAAAAAAAAAAAAAAACCTCGTATACGTCAGCAATCCATTGATGAGAAGGGGTTGAGGAAACCTTGAACCCAATTCATGTAGTGATGAATATAAGAGCAACTAAAATTCCTGTGGAGAGTCAGATTCGAAAAGAGGAATCCTCAGTTCTTTCTCTCATTCAAAACTGTGCATGATGTTGGAAATGTACCCTAAACCCAATCATATGATGATACTTTATGACCATTTCACATGTTAAACTAAACTAGTTTAATATAAGAGCAAAGACTATTGTTTAAAGCCGCCTCATTATAAATGTTATACGCTTAAACAATAAGTATGAGGAATAGGTACAATTACCTTAAAGCATTTGATTGGGCAGGTGGTAAATGAAAGTAGAGAGCACAATACTACCTTGTGAATGATATTGTTGTTGGATATATGTCAACAATCTGTGATAATTTTATATATGCTAATAAATAATAAATAGAATAAATATTGAACAGAGTATGAACAACGAAATAATTTAAACCAGAAAGATTGAAGATCAAGGCTTGCGTACCGCAATGTCCTTGAAACAGAAATTTGTCCCTACTCAGTGCTTGTAGTTCTACGGACGTCTGCTTCATCAGGATTCAACGATCAAGTTAGAATTCCATCATCGGAAAACTTAACTTCTGGCGAACTTCTGTGTGGTTCTCTCAGAAAGGATGTTTGAGATTGTAGAAGAAGAATATAGATTTTCTGTGTCTTAAATGTCATGCAGATGGATGTATATATAATAGAAGGATGCTTGTTCGCAACATGTATGAGAATGGGATGTGTCTGTTGGGAGACATCTTCTCCAGATGGGTGCTTTGCTCTGTGTTCTTTCTGAACTCTTCAGACTTCATCTGAAAGGATGAGTTTGTTGGTAAAAAACAAATAATTAATTAAATTCGAAATTAATTATATATATATATATATATATATTAATTAGTGCACCTCAAAGCTCAACCCCAAAGGTGAGCCCAATTTTATTCTCCAGGCCTATTACTCCAATCACTTTGTATAAAGGACAAAGCCTTATAAAGTGATAAAATCTTTTGAGAATGGCCAATGTGGGACAAAGAAATTTCTACTCAAACTATTCAAATTTCCAACAATTGTGACCTAAAATGGACTTGGACTTGGACCCGAGGACGGTGAGAGGGACTTAGATGTGTTATGAGGATGTGATTTGAGCTCGGGTCTATGAGGAAGAAGGTTATATGCTTTGATGTTTTGGGTTTTGAAGGCAAAAATGGTTATGGATTTGAGGTAGTGCGGCTAGGGTTTTTGGCTGAGAAAAATGATTGCAACAGCTAGAAATAATGCTTATATACTCCAACTAGTAGAAAAAACTATTTGCGTGACCAAACTTTATGCAACGAAAGGAAACTGGTCGCACAAAATAGGTTAACGCGATGAATGTACCATTCCGTCACACAACTTTGTTGAAAAGAATTTAATGGGATAAATAACTTGCGCGACGCAAGGTTTTGTCAAGCAAAGGTTTGCAGAAAAATTCGCAAATGCTTGTATTTTGCCGCAAAAAATAGGTATGGCGTGTGTCACTTTGCGCGACCAATATTTCGTCGTGCAAAGGTTCAAACATTTACTAGATTATCAATTGTTTAGTCAAAGTGTTGAATGCGGTATTTACTCCATGGTTTTGCGCGATGATGGTTTCGTTGCACAAAGAAGCCAGAATTCCGTTAAATAGACAATTTCACTCTGTCTCAACACAATTCAATCCAAAAACTCTTTACTTTCACCGAACTATTATTCCAATTATTATTTGTTTTTTCGTACGCAATATCAGACTCTAGTGGTCCTTCATCAAAGAGACTTCAGAGCAAAGGTTCTGAGAAAGGTAATACATATTAAATTTTGTTGGTTGTGTAAATTAATTAAATATTTAAGTTGACTGATATAAGTTTTTATTTTGTTGGTAGACAAGAAAAAGAAGAGAGTTGCGACATGCGTTTGATACACTTCTTCTGCTAAGAGCCGCTACCGAATCACTTATGCAGAATTAGTAAGATATGTGAAGTCGGATATGGTGAACAAGTTTAGGGGTGACATTAGGGTATTGGTGTGTGACAGATGCGGAGTGAATTGGGAGTCTTGGAAGACGTCCCCAAGGAGATAAAGATGGTCATGATCGATGAGTTAACACTACATGTACATTATTAACTAGTTAAATAATAATTTAGTTCTTTAGATAAAATATAATAGTGACATGTATAATTTATTTATTTTTGCATATTAGCCTGATTGGGACATTGACAAAAGTGACTCAAATCTAATGAAGTGCATCGACATTGTGTTCAAGTATCATTTATGGGAGTTGAAGTTTTATGTTGAACGTGACGCAAAGCAGAACAGAGTGGCTGGACTAGCAGGTGATTAGAATAGTTTTTTTTTATTAGTCTATTTATGGTTTATTAAATAATGACATTGAATTATTATTAATTTGGAAGAATAAATTTATATGGACTATATTTATTTTGTTTCGTCCCGAGAACAGATTTCTAAGATACTATAATATTGACATTAGTATTTTGAGAAACTGTTTTCGAGATAGAATAAAGTAAATATTTTTAATTAGTCGTGCAAGGATTTATACGACAAAAGTTTTGTCGCTAAAACCTTTGCGGGATGAGATTTCGTTGAGCAAAAACATTGTAAAACGGTCAGTTAGCGTTTAAGTCATCGTATTTACCGCTTAATTATGCGACGAAAGTTTGGTCGCGTAGAACGTTGAGAGACAAGCCTTCATCGTGCAAAGCGACAGTCGATGGTGTTGAAATTGACACACCCTGATCCTGATATTCCCCGAATACCAGGATAGGCACGTACTGGCCGACACCCAATGGTGATGAAAGCCATTTGTTGAGTGCAAATGCTGAGAATAAGGAATAGATAAGACTTATAAATATAAAAGAATCAAGAATATGCATTTAAGGAACGTGTTCAGAACATACGACTAATTAGAACACCGAAAGAAATAATATAAAATTTAATGAAACAAAGGATGGGTTCTGCACCGAGAGGACTCAAAGATGCTGATGCAGAAGTGTCTGGATGCCGAGATTGTATGTCTTGATTCTAAGTCCTGAAGGGGGCGCAAAACAAACATGAGTGGACCAATTTGATATATAAATAGTAAAACAGTTATCAACGTACTAACCCCCAGGTTTTATGAAAACACATATATATCATGATCATAATTTGAAATATCGATAATATCGACGAAATATCG